GTTCCGAAAGATACGTGCCGAAAAATAAAACACTGAATAATACAGGAATAATTCCTGTATTATTCAAATTGTATTATTCATCCCGAAACCCTACCTAAGACCTCGAGTAACACATGGGTGGAGCATGGAGGGAGCATAGCAAACAGGAAAGAGTCGGGACAGAAAGGATAAAAGGCGCGAAGCACCCTCGGATTCCGGGAGGAAGGAGCTTTGCAAAAGATTTCTTTTGGACTCCGGCACTTGCTAAAGATTTACCTACCTAACTTAAGGAAAGGCCGACTTCTTCTTTCCCTCGGTGGTTCTAAGCTTGCTAGTGCAGTGCAGTGCAGCTTCTACAGGTACATACTTGAGCTCACCTAAGCTAACCGGGTTAACTACCTATGGACGCTGCGACGCTGAAGCTTCCCTACATACCGCTGCAAACTGTACCGAACGGCATCCCGCCCGATTACCTAACCTTCCTTGCTTGCTTGCTTGCTTGCTTGCTTGCTTGCTTGCTTGCTTGCTTGCAGCTCGACCTTCGATCTAACTTTTTATTTTTTTGGCCCAGTGGCCAATAGGAGCGCTTACTTGGGGCACCAGGATTAATACCGATCACCGCTTGAGAGGCACCGTACCGGCTTTTCTTACTGGCTTTTATCACCCGCCCCCCCCTACATACAGCGCAGCGCAGCGTATGTATGCCTGCAGCCACCTGTTGTGTGTATCCAATTTCCGTTGGGAATTTCCCGGAAGGATTTCTTTGGGGGTGAGAGGAAAATACCTACATGGGAATGTGAGGTTGTGGGTCGCACAATGCGAAAAACTTTTTCGAACCACTCAGGTTCCCGGGACGCCGGTACTGCAAGATGCCCTTTTTAAGCCTCATTGCCTTAGGATGAAATATTTCCTATCGGGTACCTAACATCGAGTTTCTTTTTACCACGAAATTGACTATAATATTAGCTTATTCTAACTCTAGTAAAAAGGGGGTCTTTGACTAATTGGTAAGTACTAATATCAACAGAAATTCTCAATTGATCGTCAAAATTGTATATCGAGATAGTGTTTAGGTCTTGAAGCGAGATGGCGCAAATTCTTTTTTTTTCATTGCATGTGACCTGTTGTGTGATGCGCTGGTCTGTCTATTGTTTGGACCGCGAATTTTCCGAATGTCCTGCGGTCTGAGGTACTAAAGTACTTTATCCAATTCGGCGGTAAGCAAGTCACATGATATATGAATTAGTTACCAGTACCGATTCGGAGTACACCATCTTCTGTCTTGTAATCCGTACATACGCGCCAATACTATTTCATATGTAACCAACCTGTCAAGTATATGTATTAAATTTTATTAACGATCATCAGTTGGCTTCTTCAATCAATTGGATATTGTTTCAATTTCAATCTCAATAAGGATGGTTACAAATGATGAAATAAATACCTAAGACATCAACTGTCCGTAATCCTATCGAAAATTCTACCCCAGCCAGCCAGCTACGTGTACACGATACCCCCGGGGAGCTTGGGCCATATTTTACCCCTTAGTGTCTGTTACATACCCCGGCGTGTTACACGTGTAGCTGCGTATCTGGTGCCTTATGGTGCCCTGTCTCCAACCGTTCATCACCGTCTTATGATTTTCGAATATACAAGTCAATAACATTTTGTTCTTTTCTCTTCTTCGAAACTTCTATATCACCCAGCACCTATCATTCTTCCAATATTGCTAGCATTATACACGCAACAGTGCCTTAGGTATGCAGCCGGTTCAGGTTAGGGACCTCCCCTCTTCGGCCTCCTTTTATGCCGCTATCGTCCAACCACTCAAACTCCGGTATATCTCCGCCAACGCCTCGTCCATAGTCTTCGGTGACAGTACTTCCGGTGCCCCGGTCTTAGAAGTCAAGAGGCTTGCCCCCGGCCAACATCTAAGACCATCTCGCGTAATCCTTTCCGCCCAATCACCCTCCGTTGTATCTGCTTTTCGAACCGCTGCATTACGAGCGGAACCCGATATACAAATCGACACGTTCGACGAGGGCCGCGTAGAGGTCACCGACTTTGACGGAAACAAGATAGAGGCTGTCTGCTCCGCTGGATATCGTTCCAGCTTTGCACGTGCGAATTCCAGCGCTTCCCTTTCTTCACGAGAACCTCGGTCCATGATGAAGCGGAGTGCCACTACTTCCGCCGTGGAGCCCCCGCCGCGTGAGGCATCCGGGGGGTTCGGCGCTGGCACCGGCATGGGCACGGTCCTCGGGGCCGCAGCCGTTGGTGTTGCCGTAGGTAGCGCTTTAACCTATGCCTTTATGGGTAACGGCCGTCAGCGTGCTACCCCGCGTCAAGAATACGAAGCCGCATTACAACGGCGCGCATCTTATCCAGACCCGCAGCCGAATGTTCAGCCTAGGTACATCGAGGACAAGAAGTATCCGCCGCTTAGCTACGGAGCACGGTATGCCCAGATTGAGGCACCTGCAAGGAGTAGGGTAGTAGAGGACCTCGACGACCGTGCGAGCCGATACTCAGGCCACTATACCACGGCCAGCCGATCTCGTCGCCTCAGCGAGGCTGGCTCCACAAGGCGGCCGCCCATGACCGCCGACGTAGAGTACATAAGCAATGCCGGTACCAAGTACGAACAAAAGCTCCTAATGGACAGGGAGTACCGCAGCCAGGTAGGCGAGGATGACCGTCGCAGTTACGCGCCATCCAAGTATTCAGCAGCCCCATCAAGGCACACCGCAACACCATCCAAATACGCCGGGGAGTCCGAGTACCGCGGTCGCAGCAGCTCTAAACACAGAGCTCCCCGACCAACTCAAGCCGAGACATACGTCTCGACGCGCAGCAAGCGACCCGTCAGCACGGCACGTCCTCCCACACGGTCGCACAGCCGGGTTTCGGCGCGGGATCTCGATCTCCCCGAGAGCCGCACCGGCTGGGATGACGACGACGATGTAGAGAGTATCGCGCCCGACGACAGCATCAGCTGCGTTGGCGACGAAGGGTACACCAAGCGCACACACCGCCCCGCGCCGCACGGAGCCCCATCGATGGTCAGCCGCTTTCGAAGAGTTGTTAATGAGTTTGACGGCAAACGCAGGCCGTTGTACGGATCCGAGGTTAAATAGGTAGATCGATCGGTGACCCGCATGCTTGTCTCTCTCCCGTGGCAGGGATCACCTTGCTACTTTAAACCACATCTTTTTTCCATCCACCTTTATTTATCTAAACACATACATCATCTATCTCATGACACTCCATACGACAGAAATTAAAACGAACGATACGACATCAGCAATGATAACGATATGAAAGTATGATGCCTCATGGACACAGGTCTGCATACAAGCATGGGCTTTTGAATTTCTTCTACTGGTACATGTGGGACAGCATAGGTACATACCTAGTTAGGTACAACAGCATATGTCTACGGCACAACATTGGGCGGGCTTTTTTTTTCCCTCTTTCCTTTTTTTTCCCTTGATGACAAAAATGAGCGAGCGAGTAAGCAAGCAAGCGATATGAATGGGCGGTCTTTTTCAAAAATATGATTGAATGGTTGCATGAATCGGTCATCTATATATATATTTTCCTTTTGGTTCGGTCTCGGGTTTCGGGTCTCGTCTGGGTATCTTTCACTTCTTATAGCATATTTTAGCAAATCATAAAAACACTATTCCTCTTTTCGGTATAGATATAATTTTACTATTTTAAAATCAGTGTTCTGTTGCTGTTGATGTGTTTTCATTTGGATCGTGTTGAGCTGTGCTAGCTTAGATGTAACACATATAGAGTATCCTTAGAATTGGTGATTTGGTTTATTGTTCTTTCAGGGTATGCCCGACTAGGGACCCTCAGGGGGGTCTTCTAAGCTCACTTTCACTCTTACGTGACACTAATGAGCCTGGTGACCAAGTGCTTTGTGTCACTACCATGAGAACCTACTTCCGCTGGGAGCCATACCGGCCTATTCAGATACAAATAATAGAGCGAATGGAATAGATCTATCAGCCCCTCTCATTGTCTTCTAACGCAGCATCGAAGCGTTTCTACATGACGAGCATTTTGAATTCAAGCAACACTCCTCTTGAGATGGACTAGTACGTTATATACCAAGAAAACGCAATAATACAGCAGTGCTAAATCCTCACGAGAATGAGAACACCCTAGGTATACCTTGCGTATGGCAGTTAGGAATATTTATTAGTATAGATATACAGCAACAGAGAAGAACTGCCTATCGCTCCCTCAAAGTGGAACCACTCACCACGGGCATGTAAAAAATCTAAGCTATGATGAGTTTGTATTGTAACGACCTTTCAAGACAATAAAGGCAAAAGCATCTAAAAAGAGTAAGAAAGAGCAGGTTCGTAATATAATACCAATGGATCGGAGATAGCAGAAAGAGTTAGCAGGCGATATCTACGATCCGAATAAATTTGATTAAGTCCTAGTTAGAAAATACGAGCAAATGATATACTAGCATACAGACAACAATTGAGAGTTGGAAATATAGGTACCTAATCTATCACCTAAAAGGCTACATTTTGAAGGCTATGATTTGAATACCGCTCTAGGAGAATTATGTCGTACTATAGCCCCTGGTTTACGTGTATGTAATTACACCCCGAGCGAACACATCGACAATTATTCACCTAAAACCCAAACATAGCCCATCTATCAAAAGACTCGTACTAATGTATAAAATACAGGAAGCGTTGGTAAGTACGGCGGTCAACTACTATAAAAACACAAATACGTAAACACCATCAGAATAACTTTAGCATTCGAATATTCGCTATTCAGCTGTTATACATTCAAAACCTAAAGCAAAGGGGTATCTTATATATTTCGATCCATCTCTTCTCCTTCTCCATTACTCTCTTACTCTTCATCCACTTCCTCGCTCTCTCCCTCCCTAACCGCGTACCCCTCGACGAAGCCGTCCGGGTCGCACGTCTTAGTGAGGTCGATCTTATTCGCGCTAACCCAGCGCCTGACAGCTTCCCTATCGAGCCTTACGCGGGGAGCCGTCTTCGCCTCCTCTATTTCAACATCTCCATCACTGACGCTACCGCCGCGTCGTTCGGTTGACCCGTTAGCAGTGGCTGTCTCAGTGGAACCAGAACCCGCATCTTCTACAACGCCCATCTCTCGGAGTACGGCGAGGCAGTCCTCGGGCACGATCCACGTGGCTTTGGAGACTTCTTCGACGGTGATTAACGTCCCTTTTTCACCTTCTATATCGTCTTCCCCTTGCCCCTCCGGTATTTTGAGCTCTAGAAGCCACCGTGCAATCTCGCCTGCCCAGAATCGCTTGTACCCCTTCCTACCAAGTTCGGATATAGGTTTCTCAGGCCCCCCTAGAATACCCTCGCGCCGGGAGATTTCGTATGATACACCCATGAGTAGAGCGCCCAGACCCTTGCGCTGCCATGGCGGGAACACTAGGATACACGCCAGATTATTATTATCCCAGGACAGTTTCTCCTTCGAGAAGAAGCCTACTACCTGTGGTCTCGTCGGCGACGTTGGGGTATGTTGGGAAGCACTAGAAATAGTTGTTGTGGATGATTGAGAGTTTGGAATTATATCGGTAGACGTAGGGGCAAGAGAAGGAGACGGTTGTGGGTCGTTAGTTGGTGGGGGGGTATAGACGAGAAGAAAGTAGTTGAACCCCGTCACGTCGAAGAACACCGATTTGTTATCTAGGAATAGCTTCGCGAACAGGGATAAGTTCTGACAGAATAGCTATTAAATAGTTAGCATCAAGTCGTGACAAACTCGGAGTTTGAAGGAAATGATGGCGTACCCTATCTTTCTCCCCGTCAACTTCCCATACACTCCACTCGCCGTCATCACTAACAACTTCTTCCACCGTCGGCACACCTGCGCCTCCGTCGCTCTTCTTCCTCCCCTTACCCTTTCCAACCACCTCCGCAGCCGCAGCCGTCGTAACACTCGAGAATGCCGAAGGGACCTTCACCGTCCGCGTCCTTAAGCCCTTAGGATGTTTATACACCTTCCGCCCAGGCATCTCGAACGTCTTCTCGCAGCACCTAACATGCTCCCACCACGCGACCAATTCTCTACTATACTTGAAGCAGCACGGGCAGACATACAAGCGTTCGAGCATAGGCGGTGGTTGTCTCTTGCTACCACCTATCCTGCCTCCCATCTTTCCGCCGCCGTCTCTGCCATCCTTGCCGCCCGGATTGGTATTATTCGATATGTCACCTAGCACCTCCTTGCCGTAGTACGAGGGGTACCACGCCTTGAAACAGATATTACCTAACACGACCTTATCGATGTTGCGATCTGAGCGCGGTGTGGGGGGAGGCTTTAGCAGCTTTTCGGAGGTAGAAGGGCGCTTTGGCGTCGATGTCACGAGTGGTTTCGTATGTGTAGTTGTTTGATTTAGGATTTGCGGTTGCTGCTGCTGCTGCTGTTGCTGTCGCTGTTGCTGTCGTTTTCGCTGTAATGGTGGCTTGGGGGGCACAAGTCTAGTTTGTGGAGGGGATGAGCTTGTAGTTGGCCGTCTCGTCGTCGCTTTCCTTTCTTCATGCGGTGAATGCTCCAAAGAATTAATCGGCTCATTTATTCTATCATAATATTGCGCTTCCTCTTCTCCTTCTTCACTATTATTGGGTTGTATATTTTCTTTTGATACATTGTCCGCCACGACGTGCCTTGTCGTTGTGGTGCTGTCTTGTTTGCTAGGTGGCCTCCCTGCTCTCTTCTTGATCTCCCCGTTTTTTTCTAATATTTTCTCTGTATGTGATAACATGTGAGACCTCTTGATCGAACCGGCACGTACACGACCGCTTCGTAGTAGGTGTTCATCGCTATTGGGCGCAGGATGTTGTCTAGTCGCGCGACGCGGTAACTCCGGTTCGGCATCGTGCGGTCTCTTGCGCTTCTGAGGCGCCATTTTTGATTGATCAGTTATTTGGAAGGAAGATTTATATAAGCTGTCTTAAATCATATCATGTAAGTCAAGAATACCTAAACTTTTAGCGAAAAGCGAAAAGAGAAAAGACGAATGGTTTAAAGTTCGTTGTCAGTCGCGACAACTGCCAATGAAGTGCTTACGTAACTGGTTGCATTGAAGCTTATACCCCAATATGTATATTAGGTACCTAGGTACATAGGTATTGGGGTAGATTCGTCCCACGTGATACCCTTTAGCTTGACCAACGAAGCACCAACAGGCTTTGGCATGAATTTGTTCGTAGGCCATACCTAGGTATCTTATATATTCGCAAGATGTAGGTAGCATAGTGTCAAAGAAATCAGCCGAGCTCAGCCGAGCGTACTACCCACAAAGCTCTTGTATCAAAGCACAAACAAATGACTCTAAGAGTAATTGTCAAAGTGTCGTCAAATCCAAACTCAACCATAACCAAATCCACACCACACTGAGCAAACCATAAGTCAAACAAGCTATCATGTAATACGTAGTAGCAATATCAGTGTAACTATCAAACACGTGCTAAAAAAACGGGAGCGGTCCTAGCCAGCACTTGGATTTGCTGTTAAGTGTCCTGGCTTGCTAGGAAAACCTACTATCTCACACGCTTCTGTCCCAGCCAACAAAACGAGGCTTTCTCTCCGTCGATATCTATTACAATAGGCCGAATGACGTTGTTTATATTTGACCGCGCCAGTATTGCGGCCTCTTAACTTCTCTTGGTCACCAAACTACAACTTTCACCGATGCAAATAAGCTGGCTCCCCCGTTCTCGCGTGCCAAACCATTATAGACCGGTAATGGCGGAAAAGGTAGCGCCCGAAGTCCTTCCCATTTCAGAATACACGAGTTAAATTATGTTACATTCCCTCGAAATCTCCACCGAGGTCATCTTCGTCCAGGTCACCTTCTTGTATCTCCTTTGCCATCTCGCGTTCTCGTTCGCGTGCCTCCTGAGCATTCTTCAACTCAAGTCTGTGCTGGTTCATGGGGAAACGCATGGCCTATTCATAAAAGAGTTAGTCTGACTGGATTCGAAGTAGTTAATATGATCGATAACAGCATACCTTCACACTCTCATCGTGTAGCGCAAGACAAGCTCTGATACGATCGTGGAACGCCTCTCCCGGTTCCCTAGTAGCGTAAACGTCACCAACCTCCTTGCTCTTCATGAAACCTCGTTCCCGATCTAAGGTCGCCTCGATGACGCCGTCGCGGATCGCCTTAGCGACAATGTACTCCGCGCTCTCTTCACTACCAAGATGCAGGCGGATGCATA